ATATCCCAGTTACCCATTAAATTGCATATTTCTTTGCATATAATCCTCTCATCACTAGAACACCATATCTTATCCTCCTTCAATGAATAAAAAGTCTGTAACATAGTTTGTCGTGTGTTGCCACCATTGTGACGTTTAATAATTTGTTTCAAATTCTCAAAAGTATTACTAACAATTGCATATAATTTTAGCAGACACAAAATATAAATATGAGAAATAAATCAATTTTGTAAAGGGAGATAATCCAAATTTCCAGTAATTACAACTTAGACTTAACAGAAAAATCATGAAAATGGGTCTGAAAACGCCACTGACTTTACCGCACTAGGGAAAGTTCAGACCCATGAAGAAAAATGGCAACACACATCAAACATTAATCATACCAGAAGTGAGAAAATTTGCCTAATTTGCACATTGCAATATGGGAATAAACATATGTTCAATAATGCAACAAAACACCGTCTGTTCATGAGACATATAGGACAAGATAATGTTTCAATCTTTTACAATTCAATTATAATAAAAAAATAATTTTTCCTGTGTTCTATGAGGGATAAACATATGCTCCATAATAACAAAGTCAGAAGATTACTGTTATAAGTGGGTGCATTTCCTATGCACTTCTGAGTATTAACAAATGACTCAGGGATTGATGTGCCTGATAAGGGATAAAATTATGCCCCAATATTCACAAAGCATCACATTCCTCGATGTCTTTTACCAAGTTCACACGTGTGTAGACTTTTTATCTCACAAATCCCGATTTCTTACCTGCATTTTCTACAGGTGGGAATTCAGTACCCACAATCTGTGAACTGTGTTCGGCTACAACACTTGATACCAAACCTGAAATACCTGCATCCCCTGACTTATTCATTGTGTGACCATCCAACCCAGGAGGGCTAGCTGTTAAGCTGTTGCCTGCAGAGGTGGTAGCATTATTACCCCTTTCATCCCACATATTATGAACAGAGATACTCCCCTGATGTTGTAGCAATGGTTTTATCTCTGCTAACACGTTCTCCGTGACTGACTTTGTTATGGTTTGGGTTAATGCAGCCAAGGTTTTAGGAGGTACACTGAAGGGTGGAGTGCTGGTATCGCTTGCCAAGTCAGGGGATGCATCAGTGGTGGTGGGCCCTCTTGTTTCCTTTTGGCCACGACGTGGTCTTTTCGCCTGACTTGTTTTGAGCTGCTGGAAATGTTGGTAAACCTATAGAATTGTAAAACTGAGGCAGAAGTACATTTCCAATATTTAACATAATATAGGCCTAAATGTCAATTGACCGGAACTGCATGAGTCAGATCAGATATACCGGTACAATGACCACGCATATGAGCATGTTGATACTTAAGAATACATTATATCACCACTTGAATGCATCGAATACAAAGTCGTATAGGCCTAAATGTCAATTGACCAGAATTGCACGAGTCAGATCGTATAAGTACCTTGACCACGTATGTGATCATGCTAATAATTAAAAATACATTGTAATGATTGTATAACCACTTGAATGCATCGAATACAAAGTGTACATTTGATAAAACAAACTAGAAAGTTGTCTATCCTGAAATTTTTTCCAACAGTCACTTTCCGTTAAATTACACCCTGTACAATGTACCTATTACAGTTGATGACAAAATTTATCCCGGAAATATCACAATAAAGAATAGAACCAATATTGTTTTGAAACAGAGCAACATTTCCCGCACTACTGTACTAGCAATCACACCACCCATTGTGCGGCTGCAGAATTAAGCCATTAATCAACTTCTCTGGAACCGCTGCTGGTCAGTAAGGACTAGCAGCCACATAAAACAGAACACTGACATCAGTAATAAATCACCTTTTTGAAGTCGATTCACCTCGTGCCGTGTCAAATCCCAAAGTAGGCGGTAGTGCCTTTACCAAAGACAACAACGCATTGTTAATTGTTTTTCAAACAAGGAATAAAACTGATCATGGTGGTCCTAAAATAATCGAAGCAGATTTCATTCACAAAGAAACGCCGTCCAAACAATCAAAATAATACTTTTATATAAAGCATCTATAAGCAATAAACCTAAAATGTAGTCGTTTTTTTTTTTTTTTTGTTTATTTATTTATTTATCTATTTTTTATTATTAAGCCACAATTCGAAACGAGTAACTTGATAGGCATATTTAACGATAAATCTAAGTGCTGATGCACACCAATAAAATCGTGAATCATTGATGAAACAAAAACGTGTGCATGATACATGAAAGTCAAAAGGGGACAGCGAGTACAGAACGGAATTTAAGTAATCAACAAATATACCACAACAAACAAATTGGCAAACATTCATTTTCCGAACGATTTCTTCCCAGAAAAAAAGGATAATTAAGAAACTAAAACGAAAACCCAAGCGGGTACAAACTAGCAAGTACAATGACTGCCCGAGATTTGTACTTAGGCCTCGCCTAGAGTACCGTAACATTAAACAATTTTAGCAATCAACTAATACCGTAACAAACAAATTGGCAGACATTTCTCCAACGATTTTCCTTCCAGAAAAAAAGGATAAATCCGGAACGCATAAATTAAAATACACTCCTAGATAAATCAAATAAATTCGATGGAAAAATCGCCAGGGTAAAAGCTGAAACTAAAACGAAAAAACCAAGCGGGTACAAAATGGCAAGTACATAGGACTGCCTGAAACTTTTACTTAGGCCTTGCCTAGAGTACCGTAACATTAAACAATTTTAGTAATCAACTAATACCGTAACAAACAAATTGGCAGACATTACTCCAACGATTTTCCTTCACAAAAAAAGGATAAATCCGGAACGCATTAATTAAAATACATTCCTAGATAAATCAAATAAAATCGATGGAAACATCGCCAGGGTAAAAGCTGAAACTAAAACGAAAAAAGCCCAAGCGGGTACAAAATGGCAAGTACAAAACACTGCCTGAAACTTGTACTTGGGCCTTGCCCAAAATACTGTAAATATTCACAATATTTTATTAGTCAACTAATACCGTAACAAACAAATATTGCAGCCATTTCTCCAACGTTTTTTCTTCACAGAAAAAAGGATAAATCTGAAACGCATTAAAATACATTCCTAGATTAATCAAATAAAATCGATGGAAAAATCGCCAGGGTAAAATTTGAAACCAAAATGAAAAAAAAACCCAAACGGGTTTAAACTGGCAAGCACATTGAATGCCTGAAACACATACCTAGGTCATGCCTATAGTACTGTTAAAGTCACAAAAATTTTAATAATGAATTTCACATGTAAAAGTTGAAATTAAAATGAAAAAAAGGCAATGATTGGCAAGCCAATATCTGATAAGCAGAGTTAGTTTTTTTTTCTTTTTTCTTTCTTTTCTTTTCCTTTTTTTTATAATAAATAATTAATTTACAAAAACTGCAAAATTTAAGCTTGTTACATGTACCATAACCAAATGATTTTGAACAAAGGATAAACGTGACAATCTTGTTACATTTTCTAGAAAATCTATTTTCTCGCTGAAATTAACGCTCCCCTTATATAAATGTACATTCCCTTGTTTGTTCAGATGAACTCCGTCGCATACAAATTTCCGACTACAATCTCCGTCCCGAGGAGAAACAAAATAATTCCCGTGTTCCCAAAATACACAATAACCTAGTGATGGCAATGCATCTCTCAGTATTGCATTCACTTTGTCTGCTACATCATTGTACTCAACATCAACCTTGAATCTTGACAATAATTTGCAAACAATTATTTTCGCAACATTATAGCGGCGATGCATCACCGATACCACAGTTTCATTTCTGCTGCCAACAATGTAGGATCTGTACTGGGAACGATGTCGTTCTCCCCGATCATCAGAACTACTTCGGGACCAAATACAGATATTATATCACGCAAATACAGATATTATATCACGAACTTTCCCTCCACCCACACCCCTGTACAAAACGGAATGCGTTTTCCCCAGACCAAGATTTGCAGAATATCTAATGTCATCACCATGTTTCAAGAATTCGTGAGAACCAAGACCAAGAATGACAACCGAAGTTTTGCCCATTGAAGACATGATCAAATAATTTTACTCACCAAATACTTGATAAAATAAATAGCAAACTTGAAAAAAACATCCGTCCTCCAAGGCTGTAGGTGGGAGAAGAGGCAGAGTGACGCATCGCATGGCAGGAATTTTAATTGTTTGATTTTAATTGGTCAATCTCTGCCTCTCCTAAGACATAAAACAAAATGACCATAATAATACATCACTATACAATATTTCAGACTTGCACATTCAATGAGGACACTTATTGATTACAATAAAAAAATTTAAGTAAACTCAAAACTATCTTTTTTCAAAAGAAAGTGTCATTCCAGGCTATCTCTGCAAAGACTCAAATAACTATTGTTTAAAGATAAACACGCTATAACTTGCGTCAGTTAAAAATAAAGTTGGAAATTTATTTATTTTGTTTAACAAATAAAGTTACGAAAATTCTGTAAATTACACAGTTGAAAATGAACGCGTTATAAAGAACTAAAATTATAATTATTTATTTTCCTACTAGGAAAGTAATGCCTCTATTTAAATTCATGTGTCATGTGACACCGTCGCTACCTTTAGATTGATAAACAAATATGGCATCAAGAAAACGAGGTATGCCGTTTGGTATACAAATAACTTTTGACATTGATGGCACACATCTAATGCTTAAAGATACTTATCTTTTAAAACAACCAGTATTAACCATCTCTGTTTATCCATAATCGTAGTCAAAATGCAACGCACCTCGTCGGCTATGATTTCCCGCGGACATGCGGGTCTATATACTGTTTACGCACTTCCTTCATCAATATTCATGAAAAGACTGAATTCTTAATTGCAGGTCTTGTTTTAGTGTTATGTAATTAAAACGACTTACTTAGTTAAACTTCGAGGAAAGTAATTATTTTTTATTACACATCATGTTTCTCAAAACATTTAATCATTTTGTTTTACATAAAAATCGCGTTTATATAGCGTGTATATCTTTAACGTCCATGTACATGTACATTTTTATATCAATGGTAAGTGACTTTATAGGGAGAGACTACTCATGCTGGTGAAGGATTATTGAAAGATATCGAATTTTGTGAAATTTCAAAACTTACAAGAACAGTGGTGCAGAATTGCCCAAAAGATATTGCTGGAGTAATGGAAGCTTCAAACAGAAAGAACTGCTCAGACATTAAAAGTACTTGTATAGGGAGGTTAGAGTACCATTGTGTTATCAATCCTTGGGGAAATCTTACAGTGGAAGTATGCGCACCAGCCACAAACATTTCTAGAGGTAAGTAGAGTTCAGTCAATATGCAGGTTTTGAATATAAAATTGTTCAAATCGTGGTCTTTTTTATAAAGATACTGAAATGTTTAACTAAAATCTGTTCCCTCTCAAGCCACCCATCGTCTGTACAGAGTCTGACTTAAAAATGCATGTTTCATTTATGCATAATCGGTCGAATTATTTTGATATATTATTTCCCTATTTTTCAGAATTCATTTGGAGTGAAACATACATACACAAAATATACTGTTACTCTCTGTTTCGTAACGCCCTACTACGTCATTTAAAAGATAATGACAAAACTAGATTTAACGAGTCCGATCCTAATCATTTCTAGCCTAGCTATTTCGACAAATTTTCTTACATGCATTTTTTTTACTAACGGACCATATGGCAATTAGTTGAAAAGCGCCAAATTATCACATTTTTATGCCTCCGTAATCAAATATTCTGGAATATATAATTTTTGCCCTGTCCGTCTGTCTGTCTGTCTGCTTAGCTGTTTATCTGTTTGTCCGCAAAAACTTTAATATTGCCCATAACTTTTGATTGGTTGAAGCTATGGCTCTGATATTTCACATGTGTATTTCTTGTGACAAGGCCTTTCTTTGACTACCAAGAAATTTGCCCTCTCGATTTTGACCTTGGAGTTTGACCCAATTTTGCAAGAATTTACCCATTTTTATCTTTGTTCATAACTTTTGAACAGTTTTTGCTAGGGTTTTCCTACTTCACAAGTGAAATCATTGTGTTATTAGACCTGTCCATGAATATAACTTTTTTTTGACCTTATGACCTTGACCATGGAGTTTGACCCACTATAAAAAAATAACCTTGGACATAACATTTGAACAATTAGTACTAGGTCTTTATATTTCACAGGTGTAATTCATGTGACAAGGCCTTCCTTTGAATACCAACAATTTCGACCTTGGCCTTGGAGTTTGACCTACTTTTGAAAAACTTTAACCTTGGCCATAACTTTTGAACGGTTGCTGCCAGGGCTTTAATATTTCAACTGTGTATTTCTTATGACAAGGCCTTTCCAGGGTACCTTCAATTCGACCCTTTAACCTTGACCTTGGAATTTGACCCACATTTAAAAAAAACTTTCACCTTGACCATAACTTTTTAATTGGTTATGCTTGGGCTTTCATAATTCATAAGTATTTTCATCCAGAACAATTCCTTTCTTTTGGTAACAACATTATTCATCCCTTGACCTTGGGCATTTGATAAACTACAACCTTCACCAAAAGCTGTCACATCAGTGTTTCACAAAAAAATCCATGATGTTTTGTATTTTTACCCTAACGATTACTTGTTCAGTCAAATTAAGTTATTATAAAATGTCACCAGATTGTGAAATTTCAAAAAAAAGTTGATCATCTGGGTTGGTTTAGGAATCATTACAAAGTTTACTATTTTTTTCATTGCACAATGTCTCTAAATTTGCCATATGTATTTATATCGGTACAGATGAATTATTTTGGTAAAACAGAATAATGTTAAGATTGCTGGTGTATCTCTTTTAATGTTCTGTCAACAGTTTTCAGTGTAATTCCCATAATATTACCTTGTAGGTTCTTGTACTGAGTACAATGAGGGCGGGGGGAGAATACAAGAGAATTATATAAAAATATGTGAAACATGCAGGAAAAAGTACTTGTCTACCGACTCATATAAATGTAAGTTAACTTTCATTTTCTTTTGACAAATTTCAAATTATCAATTTTTAAATCTTAATCAATTTGTTATTGATGAGTATTTGATTTGTGTGTGTTTTCTGTAAAATATTTCACCAAAATTCAGTTGTTATCTTAAGTGCATCAACTTTGTCAGTAGATTTTTCAAAGTATTAATTTATTCATAAGGATATGTCTTACTCTCAATTTATGAAATCAGATTTAATCTCATTGTACACAGCTGGGTTCTATCAAATGTTGTTTTGATATGCATGTAATTGGAGTAGGTGTGTCGGATTTTTAATGCCTTATCATTGACTAAGTAACATTACACTTTTTGTAAATTTCTGTAAACACCACAAATATTAGATTTTCACGGATACAAGTCCCGAAGAATTAAGATAAATATAAACCTGTGAACTTGCTTTGAATGAGCTCCTAGAACATTAAAGAGATATTTAAATTCAGAAAAAAAAAGCAAGAAAGAAAACAAAAGACTTGTACCCATTTTCTGAATATTTTCTCCTTTGTTTCGTACGAAAACTACAATATTGTCATTTTATGCACTTTCATTTATATCATTAATGCATGACACATTTAAAGAAAATTTATAATTACATATGTAAATATATATAATAAAATATTTTGCGTGTTTACAAGGGGTATGCATTTTTCTGCACCACCTTGTAAAACACAACTGAAAAAAAAAAACAAAAAAACATTTGTTATTCAAATATGTATTATAAAATGTCAAAGCATAAATTTATAGATCAAGAATGCTATCAAAAACAGAACACTGAGGACAATAATTTGCCTTATCCACTAGAGAATGGAGAATTGTTTCATAATGCAACAAAATTTGTAGAAAAATCAAGAAATAGGTAACCAATTTTCTGCTTATACTCTGTATATAAAACTGGGTTAATATTGTTTCTATTTATAGCGAAAATTTATAATTAAGTATACATGTTTATAAAAATAAAATGTTTCATTCTATTCAACTGTATTTGTATGAGAGGAAGTACATTGTAAAGAGGGTATACCATATACCTAATCCATTCATGTTTGCTTTTAAATATTGAAGTTTATTGCAATAAATATCATATTGAATCCAAAATGAATCATTTTTTTCATTATTTCAGATCTCAACTATTTCATGTCCCATCCACAAATACTGGATTTAAAGCCAACATATTTGGAGTGATCCACCTACTCATGATACAAATGCTGCTGATAGTTTTGCTATAATAAATAAATGCATCATCATTAGTTATTTTTTCTAAAAGAATTTGGTTCAGGATTCCAGAGATTGAAGATTGTTCTGTGAATGACCATAGACTTTGCAAAATTTATAATAGTAATCGGTCGTATAACAGCGCCTGACCATGCCAACAAATTGAATACCACGCATTAGCTCCTTATGATAATTTGTCGGCACAGACAGGCGCTGTTACAACCCCGGTTGAATTAAAACAAGAGGCCCATGGGCCATATCGCTCATCTGAGCACATTGGCTAGAAAGAAGCACAAATCAATTCAGTATTGAACGGGGGATACTTCTATAGTAATATGACTAATCATGGCTTTTCTTTTCTTGAGAAGATTTTTTCAAGATGAATCCTACATATTCTTATGCAAAACCTTGACCCTCTGTTGTGTCCCCAACTCCCGGGGCTTAGTTGTTCTTGAGAAGAACATTTCAAAGATACTTCCTTTGTAACGTGTATGATCAGGTTCTTACAAGGGATATTTTGTTCAACTTCCAACTTCTTCAGCTAGTTTTTGAATGTCTGACTTTCCCAAAGCTTTGCCTTATAAACCCTTTGGGTAGTCCATTCCAAGAATTGTTAAGTTATTCCACTATTTGACGTCTTCAATGCCTTTTACTCAAATGCCCCCTAACCACTAAACCTATGTACTCCTCTGTAATCCTTGACCAACTGTTGTGGCTCCGCCCTACCCCAAGAGGCTATGATTTGGACAAACACGCAGCTCTGTTAAGGCTGCATAAAGGGGGCGGGGCCTAAATTATACGGGAAATGCTTACTGTGACATCACACAGAAATAGCAATTCCTCACAATAACAGAAAATGAAATAATTTGCGATTTTAAACTGCATAAGAGTGATAAACTACATCAAAACTTACCACTGCATTCATTTTTATCGCTAGTTAAATCCAACACAGCAAGATGTAAACAAGTCACTGATCGCAATGTACTTGTCGACATGACGTCATCATGGTAAAAATTGACGCATTTTATGTGCAGTGAGAGGCGGATCGAGTATTTTTTTCACAGTGATAAATGCAAATTATTATTAAACAGAATATTATTTGCAAATGTTAGGTAGACCATTAATACAAATCTAATACCTTTGTTTAGTGCCATTATTTAAAAACTATCGAGAGAATGTATTGAATTAATTCTGCCGGGTTTTTGACTACGGCGTTTGCATGTTTCACGCCGAGGTGCCTCATTAAATAGCCTTTTCGCCAGGGCATACACTTAATAGATCTTGACCATTTTTTAAACATACATAGCGATTACATTCCTTAACTTGAAAAGTGCTGCTGCTTTCCTGAAATAGAGAGCATAAATTAATATATACATAAAATACTTGGTAAAGGTCACACATATTTCAACTTAACCCAGATAACTTGGAATTTAAACTAATAAAATGCGAATTCCATTTAAAGCAGCAGCACTTTTCATAAACTACAAGTTATGTAGAAACAATTTATTACTTAAATTTTTAATTATAACTAGGGTATGCCCTTGCGATATTGAAATTTGTTCATGACCTACATACAGTACACATTACATACATTTATCACGTGATTGTCAAATAACGTGACCAAACCAAATTCCATACAGAGCGGCGTATACAATATTACTTCAATTAATATTAAAGTCATGTGATAATATAGTAGCTTTACAAAAATAAATTCAGTTTAAAAAGGTATGTATTTATGCACTTTCATATTGCGTTGATTTCTTCGTAGTACGCCTTAACAGAGCTGCGCATGAATCTACACTACCTAAGGATACTTCTGTATTAATATGACTAATAATGGCTTAGCTGTTCCTGAGAAGATGATTTTCAAAGATATTACCTATAAAGTCCTATGGTAAACATTGACCCCCTGTTGTGGTCCTGTCCTACACCCAGGGGTCATGATTGGAAGAAACTTGAATCTACACTACCTGAGGATACTTCTACTATTATATGACTAATCATAATAAATGTAATAAAGCTTTCACATAAGTTTCATCTCCTCTTGCCCAGTGCATGGTTCTTGAGAAGAAGATTTTCAAAAGATGCCACAAAATTTTCACGAATTCTTAATTATCTCTCCTTGAAAGAAAGCATGGCACTTCCTGTGAACAAATTTTCAGCTCCTTCACCCAAGGATGCTTTGGTTGAAATTGGCCCAGTTGTTCTTGAGAAGTGTGAAAAGTTCACAGACAACAGACGACAGACGGACGACCGACACTCTCAATAACTTTCATATATTTTGACAGAAAAGTTTGAAATTTGAAAATGTAAGTGTATAATGGAATGTTCTACAACATGATTTTTATAGGTATTCTTGAAAACATGCATTTGTACACACGTTGCATTTTGATTGGTTGAAACCTTAAATGGCTATAATTTTCTTCTTTTCGTGTTGGTTTTATCGCTAGGTTTTCATATCTTTTAAACACTACATAATATTCGGTTTATTATCATTTATGTATGACCGCCAAAATATAGCTATGAAAAGTATTTTTTCATTCGTTAAAGACCTGAATAAAGCCAAGTGAAGATACATCAGAAAAGATAAATAGTATTTATCTCATTTTAAAGCGCTTATAGAAGATTTTATAAGACAATTATCTATTCTCAATAGAAGTAAACTCGGATACATTTAAGAGAAAGTTTCATTCATCAGTTTAAAAAAATGACTTTAAAGTCTTGGTAAGTAGCTTGGTATTGTTAAAAGTATTTTATTCGTCAGCCGGGCGGAAGACCTCTTGTTGCCATGGCAACAAGATCAATTCTAGTTATTCTTTTTAAAATTATTTTTGTTAAGAAACATGTATCAAAGGTCTTTTTAGGCTCAGAGTTGTAAAATTGACGAAATGGACAACAAAGTGGGGGGGGGGGTAATATTTATTATTGCTTTCATATCCGAAATTTTGATTGCAAAATTAAGCAGGTTAATATAAAATAACAATCAAAATCCATTTTTTTCCACATAAATATTCAAATAAATTCAAACAAGATTTCGATCTTATCAATTACTTTCTTTACACAAATCTGAAGTATAAAAAAATAATTTATTTTGATTATGTATTTCAGAAAGTCTGTTAGGATGTAGAATTTTTTTCTAATAAAATTATATCTATAAAATTTCTGAAACTTTTTATGCATTTGTCTGTTTTATTGTCATTTAAGAATTTCTAACTTGAATGCATATACAAGTGCAATATGATGTTTTAATTGAAAGATACGTTATGGTAAGTGCAATTAAAAAAAAAAAAATCAATTTGCCTGTAATATTTCTTTGAATTTTGAATTCACCCCAAAGTTTAATCGATTTCCCAAAACCAAGGAAATCCAGGAAAATATCAAAGGATGTCAAACTACATATATAAAAATTCCAAAACCCTCGGGTTTAAAACTACGTCCTTTAATAGCAGGTCCATCCTCATGTACACAAAAACTGAGCAATTTACTTTACACTAACATTCCACATTACTTGAGACTTGAGGCTGTAAAATTTTGGATGGACAAATGTCCAGCAGGAACAAATGAAAGATTTTCTAAAGAATTTGTACTTGAAGCTCTTCATCCTAACAAAAAAATACTATAGTTAACTATAATTTACTATAGTTAACTATAGTAATAACTTTGACACTATGAAAACTATGATTTTCTATAGTGATAACTTTGACACTTTGATTAACTATAGTGATAACTTTGACACTTTGATTTACTAAAGTGATAACTATGATAACTTTGATTTACTATAGTGATCACTATGAAAACTTTTACTATGGTAAAAAACTTTGATTTACTATAGTGATCACTTTGATTTACTATAGTTAACAATAGTTAACTAAAGTAAACTATAGTTAACTATAGTTAACTATAACTATAGTTAACTATAGTTTTTTTTTTTTGTTAGGGCGCGCAAGTAGTTTTGGAAAATAACCATTTTAATTTTGATGACCAATTTTACCTTCAAATTAAGGGCACAGCTATGGATACCAAAGTAGCTCCAACTTATGCCACCCTAGTTATGGGTTACTTTGAAGAAAAGGTGTATGATAAACTTCCGAAATTTTTTGACGAAATTTTTGCACAATATATTCGCCAAAACTGGAAAAGGCACCTTGATGATATTTTCACTTTTTGGAATAAGACTGAAGATGATGTACAAAAATTCCACACGGTAATTAATCAATTACAGATAACAATTCAGTTCACTTTGGAAATGAGTGACAGCCAAGTACCATTTTTGGACCTCCTTCTAATTAAGGATGATACCAAAATAATCACAGATCTATACTGCAAAGTAACAGATTTGCACTAGTATTTGGATTTTTATTCATGTCACATATCGCATACTAAACGTAATATTCCATACAACATGACAAGGCGCATATGCATAATAGTAACCGATACATCTGTAAGGTCGAAAAGGTTAGAAGAATTTAAATCATATCTAAAGAAAAAAAAGCATTATCCGGAAAATCTTATAAATGTCGGAATTGGAAAGGCAAAAAGCATTCTAACTTCTATACTAAGATACACTCGCCGCAAGGATGATAGTGAAAAAAGCGATATCCCTTTTGTTGTAACGCACAATCCACGCAATCATAATATTTTGAGTACAGTCAGGAGATTTTTTCCCAGTTTAGAACAATCGCAAACTTTAGAAGACGTTACCTAGGAGTCGCAAATTAATAGCAGGAGACAGGCACCCAATCTAAAGAAAATCCTAACCAGAGCATGATTTGCATCGGACAATGCCAAAGTCGTCAAAAAGTGCCGTGACCCAAGCTGTGGAACATGTGAATATCTGGAGGAGGGCAGCGAAAAGACTAAAAAATGTTGTACAAAATTAAAACCAAACGCCATGACCTGTAAGTTAGAAAATGTTATTTATTGCATAACCTGTCCAACCTGTGATGAATACTATAAAAGACAAACTAGCAAACTGAACGCACGTGTACGAGTTCATAAACAACAAATCCGGGACCCTAAAATAAACAATGCG